GAGGATGCGCAGGGGGGGGGGGGGGGGGTCTGAGGCAGCTAGGAACCTATAGACATAATAGGATTGAAAAGCCATAATCTTTAGATTTTGAAGTTGTAGCCAGAAGAGCAAAGAAATAAAACATGGAAGAACCATTTTATAGTGGAAATGATCTCGAACTAGCTGAAGCACTCACTGGGTGTGTGGGACGAACCAAGAGAATGAGTCAAAGGCAAATGTTAGGCTTGAAGTCTTGGGACTAAGAGGTGTTCTTTCCTTGAATGTGGGATGAACCAAGAGAATGAGTCTTGGGACTAAGAGGTGTTCTTTCCTTGACCAAGACACAGAGCCTTGGAGTAGGTTAGTATTTTATTTGGAATCCTTCTAGAATTATGTACACGTGCAAGATCATTGGAACTACCCCAGGGTTTTGCAAACCTGGGCTGGAGTCACTGTTCACAATAATGACAAACCTGAGAATCCTCGTAGATCTTCCCCTTGCTTCATCCACATCACCTCTGCTGTCCCCTTAGGCTCCAAACTGTTCCACCTCCTAAATGCCTCCTGGTATTTATACCACCGCAGTTCAGTTTGCACCATCTTACTTCCTTGGTTTGGTATACCTGTCTCATATTTTTACCTGGAGTTTTACTTTCCAGTGAATTTTGAAAGCACATTTTTTTTTTAATTGAATGGGGTTTAATTGAGCAAATCTTAACACAATTTCATGAGTTGAACGAGGCAGTTTCCCAACTGACTTCCAAACAATTCTGGGTAACCTTGTGGCCACGCGGTATTTGAGTTCGGAAAGGACAGAGATGTGCGCAGCAACACGAAAACGATATAGAAAAATGAAAGTGAAGGAATAAGAAAAGTAACTAGATTGGTTACATTCTGAGGTGTCTGCATTCACACAGTGAAGAGGCACGAATCTTATCGCCATTTTCCATCCTCCCCGTGGCTACTTGCCTTAAGTAACTGCTCTCTCTACTGTGTGCTGACTTGGAATAAGGAGGGACTATTGTTTATAAAGTATCTCATATTCCCTTTGTGTACTGTGTTCCTTGTTTTCATGGCTTATGCTCAACCTACCAGATTTAGTTTTGACTTTTTCCATGATAGCACACTGCATGGTGGGGGAAAGAGCAAGAGAGAGAGAGAAGCACTCGACAGGGAATTGTGCTGTGATCAAGCCCCTTTCCCCAGCCCTCCAGCACTTCAGGATCTTGGGCATGCATGCACATGCTGAGTATGTTTTCAGGCCAAACTGGGTATCCAGACCCACATGGCTTTCAGAACTACAGTTCAGTTTTCTTCTGACTGTGCCACTAGGTTAGGCTTAGACCCACCTGCTCTCCAAACTTCTCAGGTTATGACCTCCCGTTTCTGACTTGTCTCTAATCCCAGCAGAGTTGACTCTGAAGTATAGGACCTGTATCATTACATTTAACCCTCTGTAGAACTCTGCATCTATTTTTCCCACCAGACTGTAACCTTTTAAAGTACATTGAACTATGTATTTTCCATGTGTTTGCTCCCAGCACTAAGCACAGTGGCTGGAATTATAGTAAGGACTCAAATATTTACTTTGTAATAGAAGAGGGGGAATGTTTAAGGGAGCATCTGACTGCTCAGACAGAGCCCCCTTTGGGGGTCACACTACTAAGTCCCCAGACAGGCATGTTTATCTGAGCCTCCTGGCATCTCCAGTTCTTTGCACAGTGCCTGTCATCTGTATGCATTCACACCCATAAACGACCGAGGGAACACACAGATACATGTCTGGTCATATTGTTAAACTACTATTTGGTCATCGGGAATGTTTAGAAAAATGCATCATAATTTTACTGAAGACCTAGTATTTTCACATGACCTCTCCATGAGGTCAGTTTTCTGGGTGTGTGGGACTGTTTAAAAGGTGATCTTGGAATGTTCTGAATTGTAAAATAAAAGGGTCTGGAGCCCAAGGCAGGCTCATAGTCCAGCTCATTATTTACCACATGATTCTCAGCCTGGCAGGTGACTGGGTTCTGGTCTGGGGTTTGCAAGGCACTAAATTATTTGCTAGAAGCTCAGGAAAGGGGGCAACAACCATAGGAAGATGAACAGGAAGGCTGATGTGATTCCAGGGAGAATGTTCTGAACTCATGGAGTTAGTGCTTTGACATTTTGACTACTGGCATACTCTCTTATCTATGATTATTTTCTTGGGATTTATGTAAAATGTTTGTTGTATATATAATTTTTTTGAGAGAGTGATTTTTGCTACAGAGCACATGCACTTGTTGGAAAGACAGAAATCACTTCTGAGGGGATGGCCATGCTGCAATCTCTTCTCCTTCATTCTCCTCTTGGAATTTTGGGCACACATGCATTTTTTTCTTTTATTTTAAATTTTATTATTTTGATTTGACCAGAGAGAGGCAGAGTGAGAGAGTAAGAGGGAAAGTGAGACAGCAAGCCACCAGGTCCCGGACTTCAAACACAGTTGGCCATATGGGAGTCCAGTGCCCTTAACCACCATGCCACCTGCCGTCCCCCACTCTGAGTTTCAAGCCTCTAGATCTCTGGAACTTGAACTGTGGTCGGCCATTGGAAGTCCAGCAACATAACTGTTAGGCCATCTGCTGGTCCCTGTTGTTGCTTTTGCAATGTTAATCAGTTTTTAACTGGGGTGAGTGAAAGCAAAGAAAATGTTTTGCCAAGTTGAGTCATTCCATGAGCTGTACGTATCTCTGGGGGAGAGAGGATGAGGCCAAAGTGTCCCAGGGACCTTGGGAATTAGAGGAGGAGATATCAGGAAAAGAAACAAAAGATGTAGAGCAGAGACGAGGTCATAGTTGCCATCTTACCACAGGAGTCTAGAGGAAATCATCCATTAAAAATGTCCAGTTCATACATGTTGCCTAAACGTGTTAATTAGAAAGGTCCAGCAGGTGGCACCGTAGTTAAAGGCACTGGACTCCCACATGATCGACTGTGGCTCAAGTCCTGGACTTGGAGACTTGCTTTCTCACTTTCCCTCTCTCTCTCTCTCTGATTGAACTGGAAAATAATTATAAATAAAGCTAAATAAAATCATTCTTGAACCAAAAAAAGTCCAAGGTTTTGTTTACTTGTTATTTATTAGTGAAAGCAGGCTAAAGAAGGAAAGTTAAGTGAGAAGCAATTTAAATGCAGTCAAAATGAAGATAAAAACATTCTTAAATTGTAATGTCAAAGCAAAAATATTTTTAATCTATACATCTTTTTTAGCCAAGTGAGAATATTATATATTCATTCTTCTAATGGCCTGCTGAATTTTAAAGCCAGACTAAACTGTTTCCCAACAACCAAGACATATGAAAAGATTCCTAGGAAGCGTTAGGAGTATGAATGGCATGCTTACTTCATCGGAAGTCCCTGTATGTGCTTGTTACTTGGTACAATTTGATTTGAGATGGTATTGTCTTAGAAACTCTTCCTGAATTTTTACTAAGGTGAAGAAACTTGTTTCACTAGCGTGCTTTACCAGGTAGGGTATGCCATTATGTGGGGCTGGTGAAGAGCATGGTGGGGAGGCAATAGAACACTTGAGAAAGTTCTAGAGATTCCAAGATACAAACCCTTCTGAGAAAACTTTTATGATATCCAAACAATCCAGTCTTAAAAACGATCTGGGAAGGATGGAGTGATTTTAGCCCCATTCTATTTCATATGAAAATATTTTGTTCACTTTTAATTGTAGAATTTACATCCCCAAATCTGACTTTAGGCAGAACAAATGAAGGAGGAAGAAATTATTAACTTAAAATGCACATTATCATTTGTCGTGCCACATTTGGTCAATCCCAATAATTCTCAATTGCATTTTCTTACAAGTGGTTATCCAAGTTAATTAAAACTCAATGAGATCTAAATAAATGTACTTACCAGAAATACTGCTATAGATATTCCAACTAGAAAGCCTGCTATCACATCTGACCAATGATTCCGATACTCAGCAACTCTATTAAGTCCAGTGAGAAAGGCCAAACACATTAATCCCAAGCACAGAACTGGCTTAGCAAGTCTGGTTCCTTTGGCTTTGATTGTGTTGGTAATGTACATCTGAAATATTAAAAAAAATGACTTTAATAATGGTGTATCCTTATGGACACACAATTATTTTGTATATGTACACTTAATTGCAAGAAGGTGCTTGTACTTGGATACCAGCAGGTGGTGCGGTTAAGGTGCTGGACACTCCCAAATGGCCGACTGTGGTTCAAGTCCCAGACCTGGTGGCTTGCTTTCTCACTTTCTCTCTCTCTCTCTCTCTCTGTCTCTCTCTGGTCAAAATAAAATAAAATGAATTATTAAATCTTTAAGTTAAAAAAAATGGTGCTTGTACTTGCCAGAGAGAGAGAGAGGAGAAAATACAACCCCTATGGGGAATGGTCACATTGCAATCTTCTCCATCTCTTCCTCCTTTGGACATGAATACACACATACCCAGAATGTTTCTCAAGCCAACCAGGACTTCAACCACATGATTGGCCACATGGGATACAGCTGCCTTAACTACCAGGGCATGAAGTTAGCCCAACACATACACACATTTTTACACACCCACACCCATAAAATTCAAATCACTAGTTATAGTTTGTACATTTTGGAAGAAAGTTTCCTGAAAACAATTTAAATGTAACAGTTATTTAATTTTACTTACCTGAAATGGTAATTTCTTACTAATGGACAACTCCAATGTAACCTTCATTACTCATCTAAGAACACTGAACACAATATTCCAAGTGACCTTTGTTTCTTTTTACCTTTAATGCATCTATTTGTTTTCTGTGAATTTTCATTTTACATCAATCTCAGCTACATTTTTAAAAGGGAAAAACCGATAAAGCACTTCTAATGTTCACATTTTTTGGGTGTTGTACTGATAGAATACATAGTTGATAAAACCAGAACTGTGGTTATAGCTAAGAAAAATAAAATGTAGAAAATTTCTACCAAATAGATGTTACTTTTGATGAAAAATTTAAGATTCAGTGCTAAAGTTTAATGTTATCTGGAATTCTAAAATTAACAAATTTTATCAGTCCAAATCATGACACCAAAACATCTTGATTACAATGGAGAAACATGTCAACTAAAGCTAAAACTAAACTGTAGAATATATACATTCTTAGCATCTATACATATGCTAATAAAGAACAGATCGTGTCAATTGAATGTACTGAATGAAATATTTCCAATGTGTAAGTGACCATGCTCAAAAATTATTTGGCCCTTCCCCAATCTGACTGACTTCATAGTTCAATTGCATAATTTTAACTGTGTATTACTCTGGAAAGTAAATCTTTCAATTCAAGTGGGATGTGTCAAATATTATTTCAAGTCATTGGCCTAATGAACAGATAGCATTGATGGTACAATTAGATTTTATAGTATTAATATCAGTCAGTATCTGATACTAATAATAGACTCAGAAAAACACTTACAGATATATATAAAAACTTAACTATTGTTCTCAAATATAAAATCTATCTGCCCGAGAGAGTAAACCCAAATCAATACATAACTTTTTAGTTCATAGCAGCCATTTTAGAATGCTATGAAATCCAGTAATTATCTTTATTTTTTTTCCTGGGTAAATTTTGTAGCCCTTCTAGCTGCCAGGAGAGGCTGTATGAATATTTAAACAGTACGAGTAATATAAGACCTCTCTCTAGTCTAGTTCTAGTCCTTTCTGTCCCAAGTTTCAAAACTCTTGGGGTGGGTGAGGAGCTGAATTTTTCCATTTTAGCCTGTTATCTACAGAATTAGGTATATATCCTAAGCTTGTGCTCAAAACAACTTAGTAGTTTCTGTTATGAAGCATAAGTGTGTATGAGAGGAAAACAGGAAGGGAGAAGAAAAAGGAAAGGATGCTTTCGCCAGTCTGAGAGAATGTGTTAGTGCTCTGTGGGGAGCAGTAGATGGCGTAATGGTTATGTCGCTGGACTCTCATGCAGTTAACCTGGACCCAACAGCTTAAAATTGTCCCTGCTTAATATTTACTGAGTGTCTGCACTCTATGACTGAAACTGATTGACCAAAGGTTGTACAAACACACAAGATGGAGGTTAGTGCCAGAAGTGGTGTGTGTAGAGAAGCGGGACCTAAGGAAGGACATTTGGAGGAGGGATACGGAGGCAGAGCATTGATGGGATAGGGAGGTGTGGTGTTATCGGTGGAGATACTTTGATCAACTGGACTGAGGAGAAATGTTCACATATAGAAATGTTCACTTTGTAAGCTAAATAATGATTGAATGTATATAAAAAATTAAAATAATAGAACTCGCACCAGGTGTGTTTTCAAGATCCCAAGAGAAGAGATTGCAGAGTGGCCATTCCCCCTGGGATTGGGGAGGGGAGGGTGACTTCTTGCTTTGTTTCTGTGGCGAGTGCACATGTCCTGTAGCAAAAGTCTCTCTTACACGGCTCTGTCCACACCGTAGCAAGTCAAAGATACCACACTACAGGTTTCCAGTGATGTGACTCAGTAATTCCTTGTATGACTAGTACACAGGAATAGAGAGTGAAACCTGGGCTGCTTGTGAGATAGTCCATCCTTATTAAGGCAAAATAAATGTGGAACAATGACAGAGTAACATTAATACTACTCCCATTAGTTATAGCTACTCTTTAAATAATGATCACCATTCAAGGCAATGTTCTAAGCATTTTACATTAATTACCTCATTAAATCTTCAAAACAACCCTGCAAGTTAGAAACCATAATTTTCTTCATTTTATAGGAAAAATTGACTCAAGGTGAAGCTTTTTATGAAAACTATATTGATTCTGGGGATGGCACTGCTGAGAAAAGAGATGTGAATGTGTAGCACTGGTATCTTACCTCTAGAAAATGGTCAATAGACATAAAGTGAGTATCCACGAGTGAATGAAAGTTGGAGTTAAAGACGGGAAAAAGGAGGCCACTGTGGTATCACAGGAGTGAGGCTACGTCTATGCTTTGCTATTAGGAAGAGTAGGAAGTATTAATTGTGGTTCATGTGCAAAGTCTCCTACAGAATCTATATGACTCTGAAAAATGTTTGCCTTTCCCTCAACACTTAAGGCTATTTCACGTACAGTTCAACCCTTACTTGTCCAATGTCCACATGTTTGGGCCAGATTCTGAAAAATTCTCTTGAATGCTGAGTAGATTTTTAATTGTCCTAATGACCCAGGCAAGGTTTATAAGGAGCTCAAAGATAGTTTGGCCACTATGCAAACTCATAAAGTTTCTAGAGCCAGCCCCATGGCCCAGGGGTTAAGGGAGTTGGATCCCACCTGGCTGACTGTGTGATTTGAATTCCAGCCCCAGCAGCTGGAGAAATATGCCAGGTGCATGTGCATGCATGCCCCAAATCTAGATGTGATGGAGAAATAGGGACTGAAGATTTTAGCATCACCATGTCCCACTGGGGATGGGACTCCTACTGCCCTATCTTCCAGTGAGTATGTGCACCCTCTGAGAAAATAAAACAAGAATATCAAAACAAAGCATCTATATTAGGAATAGCTGGAGTTTTGGCTTTTCCTCCATCAGATCCCCACTTACCCTTCAGAACCATAGTAGAGAGCAGGTGACTGAATTTCAAGGGCTGCAGAGAATTTCAAAAGTTGTAGATGTAACTTTAAGGTGAATCATAGTAGTACATTATTGTGCACAGATTTTTCTGGAGCACAATCAGTTGACCTGATACCCAAAAACAATTAGAGCACTTCCACTTGAACTTGGCAACTCCTTAGACTATTAAGAATATAGATGCCTTGGGAACCAGCAGTTAGCGTAATGGCTATGTCGCTGGACTCCCACATAGTCGACTGCGGTTCGTGTCCTGGACCCGGTGGCTTAAAATTCACGCCGGGCGCGTGTGCGTGCGTGCCCAAGATCCCGAGAGGAGAATGGAGGAGAAGGGATTGCAGCGTGACCATCCCCCCTGGGGGGTGATTTCTCGCTTTCTGTCTCTATGTCTCTGTCTGTCTGGCGAGCGCACGTGCCCTACAATGAAAATCTCTCAAAAAAAAAAAGAATATAGATGCCTTTTAACCTGTCTAATTGTGTTATCCTTAAAGTCTATTATTCCTAGTTTGTAGAAAAGGAAATTTTGGCCTAATATATTAAACAAGCTGGATGCAGGACAGGCATTGATTACCTATATTCTCTTGGTTTTTAATTCACTTATGAAACCATCTAGGTTAACCAGATGTCAAATGTAGCTAAACACAATACAAACAGGAGGGTGTGTGATTTAAGCAGAATGGTGTTCACTCAGTCCTCAAGAGTGGGCTGATGCTCACTACCTTACAAGCCAACTCTTTTTGCTATTCCTAACAGTCTTTATTCATCCAATCCACAAATATCTATTAGCACTAAGATGCAGTAAGCCAAAGCTGATCATTTGTTCCCTGTGAATAGCTTGATGTAGACTTATTTACACTTTTCTTTTTGCTTATACAAATATATACCATAATTAACACGCGTGTAAAGAGGTTTTGCTTATTTGCTTTTACTAAAAATGATTACAATGCCTGCCCACATTATTCTGTAATATATATTGACTCACTTGTAATAAACATGCACCTTTTGTGTAAGTTGAGAAGCCATTTTCCTATTTTATAAAACAATAGTATTATAAAAACAAAAACACACAAATGTTTGGTAAGCACCTGCTATACCTCAGAGGCTGCACTAGGTATTTCCAAGAGGAAGCCTCTAAGATTATATCTGAAGGATGATAATTACACAAGAGGCATAAAGGACACATGATACAGACTACACTTACTGAATAAAAGAATGAAAAGAAAATGCAAAGTTCAGAGGGCAAGGAACATTTTCTTCACAGCACTTGCAATTATTCTAAATCATATTCTCTACGTGTAAACATAAGAAAGGACTCCAAAAACTCAGAGGGGATCAGCAGTTAGTGTAATGGCTATGTCACTGAACTCCCAGGTAGTTGACCGTGGTTCAGGTCCGGACCCAGCAGCTTAAACTTTCGCCGGGCATGTATGCGTGCGTGCCCAAGATCCCGAGAGGAGAATGGAGTAGAAGGGATTGCA